ACCAGTGCCAAGCAATGACCATCTCCAACAAGACATAATCTAAACATCGCCCCTTGATGTTCAATGGCATTACCCAATTATCAACATTCTGGGGATTACCGTTAAGCAGAAGCTGAACTGGACTCGCCATATAAATGCTGCAATTGTTATTGAAGGTTAGGGGCTTGAATTCTGTGGTCAGTACCTCACCTGCTGTCTTCCCAAGTCAGGAGTGTGATGGAATACTCCCCACTTGCCTGGATGGGTGCAGCCCCAACAACACTCAAGAAGCTCGACACCGTCCAGGACAAAGCAGCTGCTTGATGGTGTGCCGTCCACCACTTTCAACATTCTCTCCCTTTGCCATATGGCAGCAGTGCACACTGTCTACAAGATTCACTGCAGAAACTCATCAAGTCTCCTTCAACAGCACCTTCTAAACCCACCATCTCTATCACATTGAAGGACAAGGGCAGCACATATATGTGAACACCACCCCTCCAGGCCACTCTGACAAACCACCCTAACTTGGAACCAAATCACTGTTTGTTGCCTGGATCAATCTCTTGGAACTCCCTTCCTGACAGCATTGTGGATATCCCTACACCCCAGAAACTGCAGCAGTTCAAGAGGCAGTTCACCACCACGTTCTCAAGTGTGATTAGGGATTGGCAGTTAATGCTGGCCCACATAGTGACTCATGCTCTGTTAAAACAATTAAAACAAACTCTTCAAATATGTGGGCCTATATTATAATGCGTTTTCATGCCTATTATTTTTCCAAAAACATTGATATTAAAATCAGGAGTGAGACTGGGGTTTTATTAAAGCGAGTGCATTCAAATGAAAAATTGTTTATTCATTTACAGCATCCATTGTCTGGCAGGATTCATTCTGTGCTGAAATCATTGTTGTTGATTATTTGAATGAATGCCCTCTGTGAATGAGTGACCTTGGTCATAAATGCAATAGGTGTCAAAACTCCTTGTTCTTTAAACAATGTGTATACATTGTTCGCTGTTCCTCAGCATAATCTAGGAACATTGATGACACACAATGTACACCAACAGGATATGACACTCACTTTGTTCTGTCATGTAAGGTTAGTCTCCCTAGGCAAGTACTTGGCATTTGCAGTACACATTAAGGATCTAAATTCATCGTTAATGAGAGCAAAAGGTCTGAATTGTGCTAAGTGTGGCAGAGCAGCTTTCAGAAACTCGGAATCCATTTCAAACAGGTGTTTGCAAAGGATGTTCACTAATCTGTTGGCTTTTTAAAAGTGGTTCATTCTCCTGAACTGCATGGCTAAAATGGTTGATTTTCCATGGTCAAATGATCTCTCTTCAGATTGTGGCACTGGGCCAACTTCAGGTCCTGCAGGTGTAATCCCACAACATACACAGTGTTCTGTTTTCACTGAATTCAAAATTTTAAATGTACCATTCCCTGTTGCCCACAGAGCAAAAACATTCTTTATTTTCTGGGGGACTGAGCATCTGAAAATGAAAGCACAGCGGTATAGCATCCATTGTTGACACCATTGTGATATTTGGTTGCAGGTATAATTGGCAGGTGTGCCAGGCAAAGATACCCTGGATAAATACATGGAGCTAATAAATGCATTAACTCCTTTGAATATTGAATCAATTTTCTGTTGCTTAAGTTAATGTTTAATGTCTTCAGCTTACAATGTTTGCTAGTATTGAATGAGAACAGATACTAATGGCATTGTTTGTCTTTCATGAACATTTATAGTTGTGTAGAGCCAGTCTGTCCATTGTTCAAGGACCTGTTTGTGAAGGGGTGGTATAGTTTTGTATTACCTTCACCACTGAGAGTGGGCCAAAGTAATGTTTTTGCACTTGTTTCTTAGCATGTTTCTAAATGATATAACTCAAAAACTGATACATTTAGTACACAGGTACAGTAGGACCCAAAAATAAAACAAAGGACTATGAATACTGAAGATCTGAAACAAAAACAGAAGTTGCTGGCAAAAACTCAGCAGGTCTGGCAGCCTCTGTGGGCAGAAAGCAGTGTTAACGTTTCGAGTCCAGAGTTCTGATGAAGCGTTACTGAACTCGAAACGTTAACTCTGCTTTCTTCCCACAGAGGCTGCCAGACCGGTTTGATCTCACCAGCAATTTTTGTTTTTGTTACAGTCGGACCCAAACTGATTAGTTGTCGGTGAAGGTGCTGATCCAGATCTGGAATTGTTTTAAAGACACAGTGACATTGCGAGCTAGGGCAAGCAATCAAATGTTGTTGATTTGTTTTGAATGTCTCAGCTACAGTGGTGGAATTTGTCACAGCAGTTAAAATGTGAGCAGAGTTTGCAGATAGCTTGTTAAATGTTGGTTGGCCTGAAGCCTCTTAATAAAAAGACTTCTTCCAAATTTGTGGTTACAGAGCATCAATCAGGTAGGAAGGGGTCTCAGGAAGAACAGCACAGTTGTAATAACATTATGTTCACGCAGCATTGTGGAAGCCTGTGCTTTCCTGAGTGCCATCTTCACTTGTTTACTGTGCCTGCTTGTTTACTTGTAAGTGTATAGGTGTTCTTTTGTTACTGCAGAGATTCGCTAAAACATGCTTTGTTTTTCCTCCCTTTCATTTTTTATTCTTTATTTACCTTAGTTTTGTTCATCATGGCACAATTCTGGATTGTGAAGACAAAGATTGGGACTTTACCATGAATCTTAATGTCCGCAGTATGTATTTGATGATCAAAGCCTTTTTACCGAAGGTGAGTCCCTTTGGAACCCAGTGAATAATATATTCCAGCATAGACAATACATTGAAGACACTAGTCTTTTGTTTATAAAAACTCATTTAAGATCCTGACTTTCAGGGTGTTTTACTGGGCAATCGTGACATTTTCATTTTGGTAGCAATAGCTCATTTGGCAAACAAGATGGCAGTAGTATCATAATAACAAAGTGAGAGTTCTGTATTGTCACAGACACAGAAGTAACCACATGAGCAAACGCAAAGTGGAGATGAACCTGTAACATGTATTGAAAGTTTTGTGAAGTTATCACAATAACTGCTCCCGATTGACCTGTCCCTCTGCCCCCGAGCTATATTATCACAAAGAGTTCAGACAGTAAAACAGAAACTATTTATTACTAATTAAAAGTACTTTACAAAATTCTAGGACCAGCAATGATACAAACTCTTAAAACCACTAACCAAATACTCAGTCTATTAGCCCCAAAATCCCCTTTTTCCCCAAAGCCGGCACTGAAATCTGACAGACCAGACAAAAAGTTAGTAGTGGAGGTTAGATATTAGGTTAAAGAGAGAAAGGTGATAAGCCATGTGGCTTGAATCTCAGGCTAGCAGTTACAACTTCCGTATGTGCTAAACCCCTGAGAGCAACTCGAGGACAGTTTGGTGAGGAAAGAGCAGAAACCTCTGAAGGAGTTGCTGAGTTGAGGTGGTTCCTCCTGAGTGGTCCCCTCATGGTACCCAACCAGTCTGACACCCATGATATGGTTCCTTGCTGGAAACGGGCTCTTACTCCTCCAGTCAGTTTTCTGTTCTTTGTTTCAAGCGGTGTCCCAGTGGTTCCTTACCAAGCAGGCTCCTCTCCATTCGTAGTATTTATTTAGTATTTTAGCCATGTCCTGTGCCTCCATGAGTGCTGTCCATTTTGCTCTCTTATTAACCTGAATCCTCCCTTTACTACTGAGGGCTTGGTGACATGGCATAATGAAAACAATCTGTCGCTCAACATCGGGAAAGTAAAGAACTGATCATCCACTTAGAAAGAAAGGAGGAGAACACACCCCCATCTATATCAACGGAACTGAGGTTGAGAGGGTGAAGAGCATCAAGTTCCTCGGAGTGACAATAACTGAAGACCTGTCTTGGACTTCCCACGTAGATGTGACGGTCAGGAAGGCACAATAATGCCTCTTCTTTCTCAGGCAGTTCAGGAAATTTGATATCTCCATAAGGTCCCTCACCAACTTCTACAGATGCACCATTGAAAGCATACTGTCTGGGTGCATAACGGCCTGGTATGGCAACTGCTCTGCCCAGGACTGTAAGAAACTACAGAATGTGGTGTGCATAGCCTAGACCATCACAGAAACCATCTTACTTCAATGGCGGGCAAATTATTGGAAAGGGCTCTGAGGGATAGAATTTATGATCACTTGGATAGGCACAGTTTGATTTGTGATAGTTAGCATGGATTTGTAGCATGGTAGATCATGCCTCACAAACCTTATTGAATTCTTTGAAGAGGTGACCAAACACGTGGATGAAGGTAGAGCAGTGGATGTGGTATACCTGGATTTAAGTAAGGCGTTTGATAAGGTTCCCCATGGTAGGCTCATGCAGAAAGTAAGGAGACATGGGATAGGGGGAAATGTGGCAGATTGGATTCAGAATTGGTTGAACCTTAGAAGACAAAGGGTGGTAGTGGACGGAAAATATTCAACATGGTGCTCGGTTACGAGTGGTGTACCACAAGGATCTGTTCTGGGTCCTCTTCTACTTGTGATTTTTGTAAATGATTTGGATGTAGCAGCGGAAGGGTGGATTAGTAAGTTTGCGGATGATACAAAGGTGGGTCGAGTTGTGGATAGTGCGGAGGGCTATTCTAGGTTACAAAGGGACATTGATAGGATGCAGAGCTGGGCTGAGAAGTGGCAGATGGAGTTTAACCCTGAAAAGTGTGAGGTGATTCATTTTGGAAGGACAAATTTGAAAGCAGAATACAGGGTTAACGGAAAGATTTTTAGCAATGTGGAGGAGCAAAGGGATCTCCGGGCTCATGTCCACAGTTCCCTGAAAGCTGCCACCCAGGTGGATAGAGTTGTTAAGAAGGCGTATGGTGTGTTAGCTTTCATTATTAGAGGGATTGAGTTCAAGAGCTGTGAAGTTATGCTCCAGCTATACAAAAGCCTGGTTCGGCCGCATCTGGAGTATTGTGTCCAGTTCTGGTTGCCTCATTACAGGAAAGATGTGGAATCATTGGAAAAGGTGCAGAGGAGATTTACCAGGATGTTGCCTGGAATGGAGGGAAGGTCTTCCGAGGAAAGGTTGAGAGAGCTAGGGCTTTTCTCTTTAGAATGACGAAAGATGAGAGGTGACTTGATAGAAGTGTACAAAATGATTAGAGGTATAGACAGAGTGGACAGCCAGAGACTTTTTCCTAGGGTGGAGGTAGCTGTTACGAGGGAGCATAGTTTTAAAGTGAGGGGAGGTAGAGGTAGGTTCTTTACTCAGAGAGTGGTAGGGGCGTGGAATGCATTGCCGGAGAGGGTAGTGGAGTCGGCCTCATTAGGGGCATTTAAGCGGCTATTAGATAGGCATATGGATGATAGTATAAGGTAGGGGTGGAGGTTAGATAGACCTTAGGATTAGGGTAAAAGTTCAGCACAACATCATGGGCTGAAGGGCCTGTACTGTGCTGTACTGTTCTATGTTCTATGTTCTAAGTCAACCTTCCATCCGTGGACTCCATTTACACGGCTCACTGCTGCGGAAAGGCGGCCAACATCATCAAAGACCCATCGCACCCCAGTAATGATCTCCTACAACCTCTTCCATCAGGCAGAAGATACAGAAGCCTGAACACACACACATGAGCCGATTCAGGAACAGCTTCTTTCCAGCTGTTATCAGACTGTTGAGTGGACCCTAGCCTCAAATAATGTAACCTGCAATGTAACCTGTATGCCTCTAAGTCTTTTTGATCTGTACATCCTTTGTTTGCTATGGTCTGCCGGTACCTCTCATAAACACAGCTTTTCATTGTATTTTGGTACACGAGACAATAAAATCAATCAATCAAAATTAATCAATCGTTACTTATATTCCTATAAAAAGACTTTGGCAGTTAACATATAAAATGGAATGCCAATCTCTTTTTGTAATCTCTTAGCCTTACTTATTTAATAGTTCATCACCGCTCTGAACGTACTATGTTGATCTGGTTCTCAATTGAAGTTTTTTTTTGTTTTCTAATCAACCTGTTGTGATGTGATATGACGCATGTCCAGAGCAAGTGGGTCTTGAACCCATTACACCATAGAGACCTTCAGTTGTAGTTTCTACCTAACATCTGTCAGAAACATTCAGTTTCTCCTTTATCATAATCTCTACCATTTTTGTCATCCAGAGAGTTCTGGATTTGTTTGTCCTAACTTTCCCTTTCAGAAGAATGAGCTTGACTCTGCCCAAACGATCTCTTTCATGAAGGTAGCCCATTGTTCAACTACTATTTTTTTCTTCCAGCCTTTGACTTTGATTTATTTGACCCAGTTCCATTTTTACCCAATTGAAGTTGTCTTTCTCCCAGTTAATTAATCTTACTCTAGACTGTTCATTATCTTTTTCCATTTTAATGTAGACTGTGTGATTTAAATATGCATATGTTTAATATAATTTATTTTAAGTTTGGATTTTTGAATTCTAAACTAGTATCATATTTGTTTTTCTGAGGAGTTAATAATTCACTTGTAGATATTTTGTGACCATAGTAATTTCTTTAAAACATCTGAGGGAATAGCTTTCAGAACAAACAGATTTTTATTAACTTTAGGAGGGTTTACAATTGATCGAGGTAAACAATTGTGCATCATTGTTTCTGTTAGAAATTTCAGAATTTTTTAAGCTTAATGGAAACACCAAAAACTTGAAAAAAAAACATTTTTATTGGTTTTCAGTTTGGGGCATTTCTGCAGAAGTCTTTGGATGAAGATGGGTGTATAAAAGCAGGGCTGCTTAGAAGGGGAGAAGATAGTAAATAAATTACCCTAGAGTAAGGAGTTCAGTGATAGTCCCAGGACAGAAGTGTTTGAATGAAATTCTGAAGCTGACAGTGTTCAACTTCCAGGAAGAGGCTTCACATTCTCCAGGCTGGGAGCTGAAGTCATATCCAATTAAACATATCGAGGCGTTAGAGAAAAAGATTTTTTTCCAGCGCTTTTGGGCACTGTCAAGGGAGTGTTTTTGGATTAATGCAATTACATTTTTACTGGGTTTCAGATTCTTTACAGGGTTTTAAGGAAGGGTCATCGGACCTGAAATGTTAACTCTGATTTCTGTTCACGGATGCTGCCAGACCTGCTGAGCTTTTTCAGCAATTTCTGGTTTTAGTTCTTTAAAGATGTGTTATGCGTAAATAATTTGGTCTATTCTATTTGATCTTCATTTCTTGTGCTTGATAAGCTTGTGTTTTATTGTTAAAACCAAATCTGCTTATATTTCAGTAAATGACCACCTTGTTAACACCAAAATTAAACAAAATATGATCTATACAGCCAAATTTCAGTTTGGGATCTGACTTGTCCAGTAATAACATCAGCTGGTACTATAACACCATACTCGCCCTGAATCTAATGGTGCAATGATCACTGTTCACCAGTTGTTATTCGGAATACACCTGATCTATTTGACCATCTCATTTCCAAGACCTAGGTTAAGGGGTGCTTCCTTTCTTGGTGGACTGAAAACATACTGCTGCAGAAGATTCTCCCCTTTCTGTCTTTTACACCCCTACTATTGTGATAAGTAAAATCTCCCATTATAATTGCTCTGCAATTTTTGCACATCTGTTACTTCCTTGCAAATTTCTCTGCATCCTTCCACTATTTGGTGGCTTTTACATTATGCCAAGCAATATAATTGCACCTATTTTGTTCCTTAGCCCTTAGACAAATCAATTGTCCTTGACCACTTTTGGACATCCATTTTCCCTTGCAATATGATGATCTCCATAATCAATAT